TAAAGACTACAGGGTAGCTAGCTCCCTGTTAAGCGAATCGTACCTATAACAACTCATATCAACTCGCTCATCGTGAACCCTCGATAAGATATCAAGGAAGTTCCAAGCTAAAAAGAAGACTTTATATTGCTTGTAAGTTTGTGAAACTTTTGTTTATAAATAATTGTTTGTAATGACTATTTGTAATAACTGTTATTACAAATTGTATTGTTGTGTGTATATTAAAACGTATTTGTGTTAAAAAAGAAAACTGTGTGTATCAATCTTGTTGGCAAATATCATAAGCTGATTATATATCGGCTTTTACTTAACTACTAAATCCAAACTAGAATTTAACTACTAAAGTTAAATTTATCAACTAACTCAATTTCAGACCCTTTGAAATTATCATACGTAACAATATGACCCCTTGTCCCTTATCATCACTTGCTGTCCTGCCACTAAGGGAGTTCTCTCTTGGTAGATGGTCAAGCTAATTCACTGGTGGCTCTATCCTTGGTGATCATCTGAACGTGGTCTCGATGGGAGACCTGCACCCTTCAGCAGTTTGACTTTTTACTGTAAAATTATTTTCTGACGTTACCCAGTTGGCTGTTCTCTTGCTGATGTACATTCAAGGATGATCATGGTGGATGATATTTGGCTTGAACCACCTGTCCTTCTCAATTCTGTTAACCAAGCCATTGATTCTTTTCAGTACAACATATGGACCTTGCTTAACTTCGGAGTTTGTCCTCTCTTGCAGCTGAGATTGTACATCCATAACATGCCAACTCACTGAAATCCAACTTTACCACATGAAGTCGTTTCCAAATAGGTGTTCTCCCTTGATGTTAATTATCCACACATCATTAGATGCAGAGATACTTCTTACAGTAAGTATAACTTCCAAATTTCCTCTTTTTATAACTTTATTTCTGCTTTCTGGTCATATCAACCAACTTTTTTATTCATATTTGTAATCAATTTCTATCATTTCAGTACCAAATTTAGTCAAATAATTGTAACTGTAGAACTAGTGTTGATCAACACACTGTACAGCTTCCCATCAATGAAATTGTGCACTGGTTTGTTTAAACAATGAAAGTTGTATCTCATTTTGACCAGGTGGAGTGTCTTCATCTGAGCTTTTCCCCATATATCCAACTAATTTTCTTATGACTGGTTAGCTTTTTGTTGTTGTTCATTTTATATGTTTTTGTCTCAAAAATTCATCTTTATAGTATTTTCTCCTTGATTTATTAACAGCTGCTGATTCCTTATTCTCCCGGCTATAATGGCTATGTTTCCCAAATTTATAACAGTTTTATTTTTCTGATATCCTTTGGAGGAGATTTTATTCCATACATGCTTTTGTCTGCAGTTCCTGGCAACACGCCCTTTCAAGTTACACACGAAACATCCATTTTCTTGTGATATATTTCTTCCATTCCGTGTAACTAGTTTTCTAATTAATCCTTTCAGCTTTTCTAGAGTATTGCCAGGGAGAGTTAATTTTTTCAGTACTATTTAATCTGATTATCCCAGATAGTACTTTTAGCTGTTTATTTGTGACTTTGAATGGATTCAATTTCCAGGACCAACTGGATAGTTTCTTTTAAAGTTGTACGACTACTAAATTTCCACCTAATTTGCATGTCCTCATCTGTTATGACATCTATGAATTGGTTACATGCCAACAAATTCGTCATTTCATGAGGAGCATCCAGGTGTGATAATTGGCCAAGCTTTTTCAAATCTTCTGCAATTTTGGTCAAGGTATCCTTTTAATTTAGTAATCTGCTCCTAAACTTTGCTTTGGATACTTCCTTTTGGTGTGTCACTCCAAACTTGTTGAATAAGGCAGCTAGCTACCAACACCTAATAGTTGTTATGGCTTTCAACTGGAACGTTGCTTAACGTCATTAAAGCTAATCCTCTAAAGTGAGAAGTAAGACGATTATCTTGTTGTTCACGATTCTACCTGTTTAATTGGGAAATGATTTCTAATTCAATCTGATATGCATCCCAAGGTGTATTTTCAACATAGTCCATTTGTTTCTTGATTGGGGATTGTTGTTGAACTGCCTAATTAAAATCCAGAACTGGAATTGATTGTGTCATGACTGTAATAGTCCAGGAAGATCTTGCAGTCACAGATGGCACAGCAGTTGTGGTGGGCAGGTGTAGACCGAATAGGCTCTCTTGTTCAATATTTTATACTAAATGATGTCTTAGGGTGGAATTCTTGGGTGGATGCAAAAAGAGATGTGGCTGGCTTGAGCTTTGTATTTATCTATTCATTTCATACCTCATTCTTCATGCTTTTACAATCTTTTTGTACTTTTTCAGTTTTGTCATTATAGCCTTTCTGTACTTCGTTGATGTTTTTCTGTACTTGTTAATCTTATTCTTATAATCCCTCTGTATATCTCCAATAGCTTCACCGATCTTATATCTTCAAGCATATTTATTTTTGTTCTTAATTTCTTCTTTAGATATTATAACTCTTTTTTCAAACTCTTCTCTTAACTTTCTCATTCTTACCGCTTTTTTCTTTAAAATTTTACTTCTTGGTCTTTTAATTTTCTATCTCTGTCTTCTTGATCTCTTTCAATTTTCTGTCTTGTACTTCTAATTTTTTTCTCTTTGTTCTTGATCTTTTAAATTTTTCTGTTTTGATCTTCTAATTTTTGTCTCTTTGTTCTTGATCTTTTAAAATTTTCTGTTTTGATTTTCTAATTTTTGTCTCTCTCTTCTTGTTCTTATTTTGACTGTTTCATCATCATCTGCAAATTTTGGATCTCATTGTGCTTGTTTTGTCATCTTGAAGTTTTGTCAAAGTTTCATTTTATTTTCACCAAATAATCCTAATTCTTACACCAGTGTTGTAACGTTTTCTATCGCTGG